TAGCATAATAATTATAACGTATATACAGTCATGTAGATGTATAACAGGGAGTCATATTATGTAAACGACTCCCTGCTGTATGGGGAGATTTTCTGGAAAGAAATACGAAGTAGGGAGACGAGTAAATGCAATCAGAATGGATGTTAGTTGCCGTCAGTATAATAATAAGAAGAAGAAGAACGCCCGTGATCGGCAGAGCCAGCGCCGGTCCCAGGAAACAACAGGACAGACATCCCGTGGACTCCAGAACGCCCGTGATCGGCAGAGTCAGCGCCGGTCCCATAGGTATGCAGAACACGTTACTTCATTATCTTATTGAAACGCTTTTGCAATACAATGATGTAGCTAATCAAAGGAAAAAGCATTTCCATCAGTTCTAACAACATGCACGATGAGCTAGGCAACAAAGCATAGCGCAGGGCCCTGAGCTTCCAAGCTCTCTCGTTTACCCTATCTATCACTGTTAATTTGATCATCGGAGTACAAGCCGCACTCCCATTTTTGGGTGAATTTTGAGCGTTCAAAGTGTGGCTTATACTCCGGAAAATACGCTACATTTGGAAATATTGTGGATAGGTAAACAGTCACTGTACGTTCTGCAGAGTTGCACGTGTGATGAACGCACAGTGTACAATGCTGTCTCTCCAACCAAGATCGGAAATTTGAGTGCTTTGGCACTCAAACCACCCCTCACCCCTCACCCCCCCCCCCCCCCCAACGTCTACGCCCCTGGATATGTTTGGAATGAAATCCAGAACTACCCTAGTAGAGAAAACCAGCATGCATGTTTTAGCAGCGAGACATGAAGCATCTCTGAAACTCTGAAACTCACCGTGCTACTAAGGCTGGCAGAGGGGCTAACTCTCAGTCAGCTTTCGCTAAGCCGCGGTGATCAGCGGGAAGTGAAGGGTGCGCTAGCTCACACCAGCGTGTGTTGAGTCTTAACGTATTGGTGAGCGATGGTCTGCGCAAGGAACGTTAGCTACACTTACACAGCACGCCTTCAACGTTTTCAAACAGGGGCTGGGCTTCTACAAACTGGTTCTAGTCTAGAAGTCACTGGGTTAGCTACTTCAAGTACTTGTACTGGCCTAGCCTAGTATGCAGCGAAACGAGCTCCTGCGGTGGACTGAAGATGGGCGACTAGTACTCTTACGCTGGTAACTACGCCTGTCTTCGATTTTCCCTTCTTGACAAACCGGTGAAACGTTGATACTTGCTCCTTCTCGGTCGGGAGCATCTACTGTACACCGGACTGGTCGATTACAACTTTTTCAAGAGCGGACCAAGACAGATAACTAAAAAACTATCTCGGACCAGCTGCAAGGCAAGAGACAAATCGATTGAAGCCCGGGGCCGTGTAGATGTCATGGCGTACATGTAGCCTTCTGACTGTACTCATCGTTTTTTTCCGTGGCGCGTGATCTCGACCACACAGACTGCCATGCTACCCAGCGATCGTCGACAGGCTTGGCGGGCCATTCCTAATCCTACATTGTAGTAGTGCCGCTCATGTCACGTAGCGTAGGTCGACCCAGTCGGACCCACCCGTCCCGCGTTAGTCACATGAGCGGCACTACGATTAGGAATGGCCAATTACGGCCAAGCCTGTCGACGATCGGGGGGGGGGGGGGGGGGTAGCATGGCAGTCTGTGGTCGAGATCACGCGCAACGGAAAAAACGATAAAGCCGCGGCCGCTCCAGACGGCCGTCTCCAGCCTCCAGCCGACGTCATCGAGGTTGCAGTAGCACTCAGCTCAGGTCAGCCGATCCAGGGTCATGTCAGGGCGTTTTCACGCCTTCCTACCTCATGTAGATCTGCACTCTGCAGTCGTCGCCAAAACATCCAATAGTACCTTATCACTCCCTTAGTATTGACTCACATAGATTTTTGCCATACCTAAGCAGTCAAATATTCCTGCATATTTCACTCCTTAGGGCTATATTGAGTCTATTGACTGCTTATATTTTGACTGCTTAGGGGTGGCGCAGTTGAACGGTGCCTAGTGCAGCATTGTCACTGCATGAGTAGGTGGTGGTGCAACGGTTGTGCAATCATAAAACCGGGATTAATGAGGTTATCGTTCTGGAATTTGAAATACGGACTGTTTGTCGTGATAAATCTAATATTGACTTCGTACTTGGTCAGTATAGGAAATAAAAACCTCGTAAAAGACCTCGGCTTCGCCTCGGTCTTTTACTCGGCTTTTATTTCCTATATTGACCTCGTACTCAGTCAATATTAGATACGTATTTTCCCCAATAAATGTACAGTACGTAAATTTTTTCAAAGGTGGTCAGACCTGTACTAGTCTATAGCCTAGGAGACTGTACTAGTATTGGAGATGTGTACTTTTATTATTTCTGGGAAGATTGATTACCTGGGTTGAGTGGCAAACAACCCGTGATAATGATGCTGTAAGGCTGTAAATACACCCAACCATGGTAAGAATGAGTGTACAAAGACACACAGATGATGAACGGGTAAGAAAAACGAAGTAAGGTGGACCCTGGTATCTGTACCCCACTAATGCCCATCATATCATTCCGGCATGTACTATTATTAGAGACGTGTCCTTTTATATTTTCGATCCACGCCCAACATGTACTACAATTGGGGACGTACTAGTAATGGAGACGTGTACGTTTAAAGGGGAAGTTAAGGCAAAAATTAAAATTTCACCAGTTGTAGTCTTCGGGGTGCTGAGTCGAATGGTCTTGGTCCGAGAAAGCTGAGACGCTCCCTTCCTACTTGAATCCCAATCGAACTCGCGCACTTCCACCGAAACTGGGTGACTGCGCCCTCCTAGATGGAGATTTGTATGCCAAATGTCACTAAAAGCGCCATTTCGTTCTTATAAAAGCACGGATGACCGCGATTGGTCCATATGTTGTAGTCTTTTGGACGCTGAGTCAACTGGTTTTGGTCCGAAAAGGCTGCGATGCAGCGTTCCTCCTTTATTCCCAATCGAACATGGTTGAACAAGCGGTCACATGCTCCTGGGTGCCCAAATCACCTGGTCACCACGCCAGCAGGCGACAATTTTCACACCAAGGGTCAACTCGAGTTCAACTCGAGTGACAGGAGTGCACCCAAAAATGGTCAAACAGGCTAGTAATTTCCTGGAAGTTTGACAATGTGCAGGCTTTCTTCCATTTTTGTCCCAAACCAAGAGCATTATATCCCTTGCTGAAGCATTATAATCAGCATTATAAATATAATGCAGTTTTTGGAGCATTATGGCTAGCATTATACGAACATTTTCGGAGTATTATCCGCTGGACCCTGCCCTCAGAACACGTACCGGTAACCATGGTAACCCAAAAGTTTACTATACTGTACAAGTAGTAATATTATGACATTGTACCTGTGTAGCTCTAAACTCCCCTAGCATGATTTGTACTTGTTTTTCTTTTTTTCTTTTTTTTGCCATGGCCGGCTATAATCGCCCTCACCTCCTCCTTGATTGGCCTTGGCCATGAGTGTGTGCGTAATAATAATTTCTTCACTAATAATAATAATAATAATAATAGTAATGAATAGTAATGAGGGTCAGAACCGGGTTCAACACCCATATGGTTCAGATGGTCCCAACGGACCTGGGTAGTAAGGTCACTGGTTTCCGAACACAGTGTCCTCCACCTTGTTTCATGCTGTCAATAGCTAACAACAATGACGTCTAGCTGTAGACGTAGAGAGGCATACAGGTATTGTCACTGAGGTACATGTACATCTACATGAGCACGATGATTGTAGAATTATTCTTCATATGTGTATTTTCACCATAAACCAGTCTCTTGACTTCAGTGCCTGTCACAGCGTCTCTCACAGTAGATCTACGTGTAGTGTCAATGGTTCCCATGGTCACTGGCATCATGGCATGTACCGGTATTTTTTTATTTCTTTATTTTTATCTCTTCTAAATCCTACTTGGAGCAGTAAGGCTGTGTCACTGCTTCTACTGTCATTGTTGTGAAAGCAATATCATCGCCATTGGTGGTGATTTCAACCATGCATGAATCATTAACAATCATCATTTATGTGTCCCAACCGTCCTCGTAACTCCCCTCATTGTGACTAGTGCCGTACTGTTGAAACCTACTTTGCTTCAATGTATATCCGCTCCAAAGCTCTTTTGTTGCATAGTTATCTGACGCAGTGTGCTATCGGGCAATATGGATAAGATTAGTACAGTCAGCATCGGCTATGGAGTGACCAGGTATAAGACCAGGTATAAGACCAGGTATAAGACCAGGTATAAGACCAGGTATAAGACCAGGTATAAGACCAGGTATAAGACCAGGTATAAGACCAGGTATAAGACCAGGTATAAGACCAGGTATAAGACCAGGTATAAGGGCCGTTTCACACGAGGTACAAAATCGCGTACATGTCACGTTTCCGGTTATGTTCCCTAGGAGATGGAGCACTTTTGGCGCGAAATGTGAAACGCATCGTGTACGTTTTCAGCAAAACCAGGAGGGGTGTAGAAAGCAGGATATACCCAGCGTTCTACTGACAAACTTCGTTTTCCTTGCATTGTGATCTGTCGTCGTGTTTGCTTTTTTGCTTCTGTTTGTCGCGAACGCGATCGTAATTTCCATAATTATCACTTAGACATAAATTTGTAGTGCTAGAGCCTACTTTTTCTGACCTTGCCGCGCTCCTTCCATATTCTGAATGGCTATAGGCATGCGCAGTATGGTACGCGCGCATATTAGGCATGCGCGATCTTGACCCGTATAAATTAGGCATGCGCGTTCCTAATCAGGCTCTCCTTTTTATGATCACCAAGATTGACCTCGTGTTCTTATGGCTCTTGTGTGAATCCAAGTTTGCAGGCAGCTCGCCTTTTAGAGCAAGATGTCATGAGTGGATTGTTTGTAGTGCAACTGGCATGAGTATTGTTAGATCAGGGTCACAGTAGTAGTCGCACGGCGACATTTTTGGTGCCGAAACCAATACTGATGCCGGATATGGTGTGAGACCGAGAGCAGATATGGCAGAACCAGACTCCATCAACGCCCAGGCGAAGACGAAACGGAAGGTGCTGCAGGCCCACGTGAAGTTCTTGAACCAGCGCTCCGCTGAGGCCAATACATTGCTGTCTGGCACTCCAACTCCGGACGAGATAAGTAGTCTGATTACTGTATTTGCTTCTACGATAAAGAAAGGCGAGGAATTGTTCGACTTGTTTGCTAATGTGGTATACGACTTTGAGGCTACAAAAAAGGGTGATAAAGAGAAAAAGAAATACGATGAGCAGTATGTCGATGTGGTTGTGGAATTAATTACGGAATGCAATGATCTATTGGCACAGTTACGAGGAAAGTCAGCACAGTGTAAAACAGCATCACCAGTGGAGATCATAGATCTGACGAAGGTCATGGAAGCCAACACGAAAACACAGGCAGAAACAGCGAAGCTATTAAACCAGTTTGTCTCAGAACAAGGTGCCGCCAATGGCACTCCAGTCACAGTATCAAGTTCAACGAAGCTTCCTGTCCTAAAAATACCTGTGTTCAATGGCAATGTGTTGCAGTACCCAGAATTCATTGACATGTTTGAATCCACTATTCACAATAATACCAAGCTGTCCAATGTGGAAAAATTAGTGTACTTGAGAAATCACCTGAGCGATGCAGCACTAGATACCATAACGGGCATTACCTTAACGGGCAAGAATTATGCAGCAGCATTAGGGCTCCTAAAAGAGCGATTTGGAAAGCCACAAGTAATTGCCAACATGACGTATCACAAGCTTGTTGCCATTAAGCCACCAGTGAACACATCAGTAGCGTTGCGTAAGTTCCAAAATGAAGCAGAGGCGCACTTGCGATGTCTGAAATCAGCTGGTTCAGACATCCAGCAAGAGATAATCGTACCGCTACTGATGTCAAAACTGCCAAAACCGATAATCATTGATATGGAGAAAAGAAAAACCGGTGATAATTGGTCTGTGGGCAAACTACTTACGGTCTTGGGTGCATTAATTGATATCCTTGAAGCAAGTGATCACATGGCATCTGTACACTTCACACCTTCTAATGGGCGGGTACACAGGGAAACAAACCAAGAGGGTATGGCCACCAGTTCCTTACTAATGAATCAGACCACGCACAAAGGCCCGAAATGTTGGTATTGTGGAGGGTCACACTACACGGATGAATGCCCAACATATCCAACGTATGAGAAACGGAAAGAGAAAATCACAAATGAATGTTTCGTATGTCTGAGGAAAGGACATAGTGCAGCAGATTGCAGAGCTGGTGCACGTACATGCTACCATTGTGGGAAACGCGGGCATCACCGGTCATTATGCATGAAGAAATTTGATCCACAATCCAGGCTAGATCCAAAGGCACGAGAATTCAAAAGTGCAAAGCCAACCAATGTTCAATCTTGCAATGCAGAGCTAGTGCCGCCTGTAGCTGACGTACATGCAACAAATGAAGTTTACTCCCAGAGCAATGTGGTACTAATGCAAACAGCAATGGCAGAAATCCAGAATGGTGACCACACTTGCAACGCACGCATCTTGTTCGACACTGGGTCGTCCCGTTCATTTGTGCACAGAAATGTCACTACCTCACTACACAGTAAACCAATTGGTCAAGATGTTTTGGCAGTAGCCGGGTTTGGTTCCAAGACCAGAACTACTCGCACTTACCCCAGGGTAGAGTTACAAGTCAAATTGCGTGATGGATCCTTCCAACCGATATCTGCAAATATCACTGACCACATCTCTTGTCCAATGAATATGGCTCCGTTAGATTTGTCGAAACATCCAGCCATTGCAAAATTGCCACTAGCTGAGCCCCTTGGCACCGAAAGCACCCAGGCTCCGATTGACATACTAATTGGGAGCGACCAGTACTTTGAATTTGTGGGTCTGGAGCATTTGAAGTTGGGAAATGGGATTGTAATGCTTGACACGAAACTGGGTTTCATCCCGACGGGTAAAGCAGACCAACATGATTCAAGGCCAGATATCCATGCAATGTGCACGTCTGTTGAAAGCGAAGTACAACATCCAGATTTCGACCTACAGAAATTCTGGAAGCTAGAGCAGATTGGCATAGATGAAGATAATGGAGTCACAGATGACACCCTAGCGTACGACAACTTCAATGCAAATGTTGAGTTCATTAATGGTCGTTATGTAGTGTCATGGCCATGGAAATTAGACCCAGAAACTTGCCTACCAGAGAACTTTGATTTGGCCAAAGGTAGATTGAAATCTCTCATGCACAGAATGGAAAAAACACCAGAAGTACTCACGAAGTATCACGAAACGATACTGGGACAAATGGAAATGGGTGTAATTGAAGAAGTCAACGACTCTAGCAGCGAACTACGCAGTGACAACAACAATGGCAGTCACACTGACAACAACGCAGAGAGCAGCGTACATCACTACATACCACACCACTGTGTAGTCAAGCCGAGCAGCACGACAACGAAGATACGCGTAGTGTACGACGCATCTGCCAAGACGAAGGAAGGCAACAAGTCACTTAACGAGTGCATCCACAGAGGCCCAGTGCTGCTGCCAGACCTTTGCGGCATCCTCCTTCGCTTTCGTTTGAATCCCATAGCAATGAGCAGCGATATTGAGAAGGCATTCTTGCAAGTCGGCTTACATGTCCGTGACCGCAATGTCACACGCTTTCTTTGGGTTCGAGACCCCAGCAAGCCTCCCAGAGGTGACAACATCGTCATCTACAGATTCTGCCGCATCCCCTTTGGCGTAATCGCAAGTCCATTCTTGCTTGGTGCCACCATACGACACCACATCAGTTCTTCAGAGAACACGCAATCGCAGGCTGTAGAGAATAACACTTACGTCGACAATGTCCTCGGCGGAGCGGAAAGCGTAGAAGACGCAGTAGAGTACTATCGAGAAGTCAAGGGCATCTTCGCTCATGCATCAATGAATCTACGGGAGTGGGCGACAAACTCCGAGTCCCTCAAGCAGCAGATCCCCGAGAGCGATCGCGCAATCGCTCAACTCGTCAAGGTCCTTGGTATGGAGTGGGACACAAACTTGGATGTGCTAGGGCTCACTCCAAACCCAGCTGAACTAAAAAACGTTCAGACGAAGCGACACATGCTGAGCGTGTTATCATCGTTCTACGATCCACTGGGAATCTATTCGCCAATCGTATTCCGCGCGAAGGTTCTACTTCAGGAGATCTGGAAACTGAAGTGCAATTGGGACGATGTCTTGCCAGCAGCTATTCTTACAGAGTGGCATGAGATAGCTCATGACTTATCCACAGCCAGCCAAACCAGAATACCAAGACTTGCGAGTTTCACTTCCAACGTTGAACCAAGGTATGAGCTCCATGTTTTCTGTGACGCATCAAAGGCAGGCTACGGAGCTGTGGCGTATCTACGCACTATCTCGACGAACGTGTCTGTTCGCTTACTCTTTGCCAAGTCTCGTGTGGCACCGTTAAAGGAAACAACAATACCGAGGTTGGAGTTACTCGCAGCCACGCTAGGTGCTCGAATGATCAACTTCTTACGGAAAGAACTCCCTCTTCAGCTCACTACGTACTTGTGGTCAGATTCTCAATGTGTGCTAGGATGGGTGAAAGGGAAGGGCAAGGATCTGCCGACGTTCGTAGCACATAGGGTCGCAGAAATCAGCCGCAATGAAGACGTGCAATTCTGTTATGTGAACACAAGAAGCAATCCTGCCGATCAACTCTCAAGAGGCACCACGACTGCAACCCTCCTCAAGAGTAATCTGTGGTGGACAGGTCCCGAGTGGTTGGCGGATGTACAATGGGCACCGGATACTGATTCTTGTCAAGAAGAAGTCCTTCACGCCGCTTTGTCGGGGGAGGGTCCTGCGGAGCAACAGGCGAGCAACCCCCCACCGGCTGGTATTCATATTGAGAAATCATCATCCTTCGCGAAAGTGATCAGGGTTACAGCATGGGTACAGCGTTTCATAAAGTCAGCAAGAAAGTCTCGTCCAACATCACCATACTTATCGGTTGACGAACTTCAGACCGCGGAAATGCTTTGGCTGAAACATGCGCAAGCCAATGATTACCCAGCAGAACTGGAAGCCATCAAGAACAACAAGAAAACCAAGAGCGACTTGATGTTCAAGTTGGGTCTCTTTATTGATGAAGAAGATGGCCTAATCAAGTGCAGAGGCAGGATGAAGAATGCAGAACTGCCATCAAATGCTAAATTCCCGATTCTCCTCTGCGGAAAGAGTGCGCTGACGAGATTGATCATTTCTGATGTACACCAGAGAGTTCTCCACGCTGGCGCTAGTCACACGCTTGTGGAATTACGTAAACGCTTCTGGGTGACACGAGGTAGAAAAGAGGTCACGAATGTAGTTAATCAGTGCAAGGTATGCAAACGGTTTGAGGGTGGCCCCTTTGCAATGCCCAAGTTCGCACCTCTCCCCAAAGAACGGGTAACCCGCAGCGCACCATTTGTCAGGACTGGCATTGATTACTTTGGGCCCCTGACTGTTAAAGCCAATGGAGAAAACAAGAAAGTTTGGGTGGTACTGTTCACTTGTCTGGCAACACGGGCATTGCACTTAGAGCTTGTACTAGATATGACTACTGACAGCTTTCTAATGGCGTTTAAGCGATTCGTCGCTCGCCGCGGTACACCGGCTACAATCGTGTCTGATAATGCTAAACAGTTTAAATTGGCAGACGTCACAATGGAGCAATTGTGGAAATCCATTAATACCAATGCGAATGTATTCTCGACACTTGCCACTATGGGTATTGAATGGCGGTTTATCGTTCAACTATCACCATGGATGGGAGGGGTGTATGAACGCCTCGTCCAGTCCGTAAAGCGAATGCTCAGGAAATCCCTCGGTAAACGAATTCTAAAGGCCGAGGAACTTTGCACACTGCTGACAGAAGTAGAGGGAATTCTGAACAGTAGGCCTCTCACGTATGTGGGTGAAGATTTCAATGGGTTTATCCTCACACCAGCGCACTTCTTGTGCCTCAACAACACTCTAACACTGCCGGGTGAGCAGTTAGATACGAATGATCCAGATTTCTGTGTCAACGCCTCGGGTGATTTACTTCTCCAGAAGTTCAATGTATGTCAGCAGCAGCTGAATCGCTTCTGGCAATTATGGCAAGACGAGTATCTAGCAACACTGAGAGAGCGTGGCGATTACCAGCTACGACAAGGACGTATTCGTGCCACTGACGAGCCAGCAGTTGACACAGTTGTCATCATCCGCGAGGAAACACTGCCCCGAGTTAGCTGGCCAATCGGCCGCATTGTGAAACTGCACGAATCTTCAGATGGTGAGACAAGATCCGCCACCATTCAGCTCCCCACTGGTAGGACAGTCAGACGGTCACTATGTCATCTTTACCCGCTGGAATGTCCATCAACACCAGCACAGGTGAGTAGTGAACCCGAACCAGTACCGGCAACTGAGAGCGCATCCAGTAGTGATACCACCAGCATGACTCGGCCCAAGCGGCACGCAGCAGCTCGGTTTCAAGAACAGCTAGGTGAGCTTATACGAGACGGAGCAGTTTAGTAACAAGAATGAGTGCACTGGATAGTAAGCTATGCTATGATGGTCTGAACACTTGTACACCCACAAACTCACACATGCATACACACATACACCCACACACCTATACACTGTACATACACAGCATGAACACGATTGCCTTCTGATCTTTGTTATGAACATGCTGCTTATGCGAACCTCCTTTGCTACATATACTGCAGCATACATGTTTTATTGGAGTAGTTTAAAAGTAGATTGCCTTATTTCCGAAGGTGAACTTTCAAGATGAGTATTCAGATGCATGAACAGTAAGTGGATCTGAAGATGTAACTAGTGTCAATATATCATGCAGTCAGTCAGTATAGTAACGGTATCATTGAGTCAAGTTTGATACAGCTCTCCCACCAGTACGTCGTTTAGGTACCGTAGATCATTTTCGGCACAGATTTGTATTCATGAATTTCAAGGCTGACAGTATTCGGAGCTATTTACATTGCATGTTCCTTTCTTGACATTCAGTTCATTGTGTAAATATGTTTACTGAGTATCATTCTTCATTTCTTCTCGCTGGCCGGAATGTCGCGAACGCGATCGTAATTTCCATAATTATCACTTAGACATAAATTTGTAGTGCTAGAGCCTACTTTTTCTGACCTTGCCGCGCTCCTTCCATATTCTGAATGGCTATAGGCATGCGCAGTATGGTACGCGCGCATATTAGGCATGCGCGATCTTGACCCGTATAAATTAGGCATGCGCGTTCCTAATCAGGCTCTCCTTTTTATGATCACCAAGATTGACCTCGTGTTCTTATGGCTCTTGTGTGAATCCAAGTTTGCAGGCAGCTCGCCTTTTAGAGCAAGATGTCATGAGTGGATTGTTTGTAGTGTAACTGGCATGAGTATTGTTAGATCAGGGTCACAGTAGTAGTCGCACGGCGACACTGTTTGCTTTCATTGCTGGTTGCTGGTTGTGCCTTCCGTTTCGGACAATGCCTCGCCAAATATTCTCTGATGACCTGGAGGCTAGACTTATTGAGTTGTGGGCCGACTATCAAAAGTCAAAAAGTGGCCAGATGGTGAAGCGTATTGTTAGGGAAAGGGAGATCGCCGAGAAACTCAATGCTGCGTTCCGCTCAGGATGGTTGAATCCAGAGAAAAACTTGAAATTACACTTTGAACAAGCGAGGGCAATGCAGTCCTTCTACGCCTCGCCATCCTTTGCAACCTCTCTCGTCCGTTCATCTTTCTCTCCTTGTGGCGATCAAAGAAAACGAGAATCAGGGAGAGAACATCTCCTTGCCAAACTAATAATAATTATTATTATTTTGTGTTCAAAACTCCCGCGTTCGCGTGCGGATTCCGTATTTTACGACTTCTGTGCGAGGCAGGTCAAAGCTGCCATGGCAACTGCTGCTTGAAAAGCATGTTGCGACACTCGTGTGAAATCACGCGCTGTGTACTGTGCCTAGAACGTCCATTCGTGAAAAGCCTGTCCCTCCAGAAACTTGCGGAGACATTTCGGAAATATCGCGGAAAAAGTTGCGAGGTAAAATGCCACAAATTGCGGGGAATATTGCGGATTTTGTCAAATATTGCGGGATTATTGTGGTAAAAATGCGGAAATTGCGGCCGATTTTGGTACTTGTACTGTAGTGCTGTACGATGTACGGGTCGTACAGCATAAATCATGCATGACAAAACAGAACGTACGTGTGCTGCGCTGACTGTGTTCAACTGCAAGACAGCTTTCCTCCATCCTCGGACAACACTCGACGCGAGCCTTATTTTGTGACTTGTCAGCCGCTGATTTGCTCAGAAACTTCGACATTCTGGTGTCGATCTCACAAGTAAACTACTGATGAGCTTGAAGAACTAAACAACATCGAAGAAAGACCCGAATATCGCGGTTGCTTTTCGAAATATCGCGGTGCTTTTCAAGTATCAAGGACAGTTTTCTACAATAACGCGGATGATTTTTCAAATATCGCGGATATCACGGACTTTTGTTCAAATCGCGGAAAACAACGCGGCCGCGGAATCGCAAGTTCCTGGAGGGACAGAAAAGCCATGTATACCTCGTGTGAAACGGCCCTAAGGCTGTACTCACACTACTTGAAAGTTTGACGCGAATGTCGCGTTCAAAACTAGACAAAAGTACTTGAAAAAGAGTTTCCAAGCACACTGCACTCCAGTGACGACTTGAAACATTTTTGTCAGCAAATTACCATGGAGAAACATGATTGTCATGTGGTAGTTTTGCAAATCCCGAGGCTGCGTTCCTTCAATTTTTTTGCGCTCGATGAACTTATTTGAAATTTTCAATTCATGAGAAAAATGGAAACAGATATATCTTGCTTGGATCGTGGATTTCTTTCGCCATGCCTCGCGAAGAAGTAGGACATCGTCGACGTCGACGGATGAAGAGGTTTCTCTCCAAAGCTTGATGAGCTTCTTCTCCAAGTCGTCAGAAAATACTACGCGAGGCATGATGTCGGTACAAAAGCAATGGTACAAAAGAAATGCGACAGAAACGGCAATCAAAACAACGGGAAGCTACTAGAAGAAAGAAGACGGAAAATACTCGGAAAAACACCACAGAATTCAGAAATGACAGGCAAAAAAGGAAACTACAAGTATATGTACAGGAGCAGTACGACCACGAGGAAACAAAGCATGAAAAAATATTCCGGAGCCTTTCAACGTACAATAGTACTCCGGCCTCCTGACCTCACACAGCTTTCCAAACGGCTTGAAAGCAAAAAACCTCGTAGAAGAGGGTTCGGTTTCCGCTGAAACCTTTCAAGCGGCTTTCAAGGGCTTTTTTCATTTTCGCAACCGTCACCGTGGCAACATTCACACGTAAGTCACTTGTATGCGGTTTTTCAAGTAGTGTGAGTACAGCCTTAGTCTAAGACCAGGTATAAGACCAGGTATAAGACCAGGTATAAGACCAGGTATAAGACCAGGTATAAGACCAGGTATAAGACCAGGTATAAGACCAGGTATAAGGGCCGTTTCACAAGAGGTATACATGGCTTTTCACGAATAGGCGTTCTAGGCACAGTACACAGCGCGTGATTTCACACGAGTGTCGCAACATGCTTTTCAAGCAGAAGTTGCCATGGCAGCTTTGACCTGCCTCGCACAGAAGTCGTAAAATACGGAATCCGCACGCGAACGCGGGAGTTTTGAACACAAAATAATAATAATTATTATTAGTTTGGCAAGGAGACGTTCTCTCCCTGATTCTCGTTTTCTTTGATCGCCACAAGGAGAGAAAGATGAACGGACGAGAGAGGTTGCAAAGGATGGCGAGGTGTAGAAGGACTGCATTGCCCTCGCTTGTTCAAAGTGTAATTTCAAGTTTTTCTCTGGATTCAACCATCCTGAGCGGAAGGTTTGATTTCCTCAATTTGATCGAGTCCACTCAGGTGTCTTGTCAGCTTGACTACCAGTCGCAGTCTATCTCCGAAATCTTCGGTACAAGTCCCTCGCCTTTGCCTTCAAATTGTCCACCTTGTTGTGGACAATCAAGGGGGTGATCTCGATGTCCAAATTGCTCTCTTTGGCAAAAGCATTGAGTTTCTCGGCGATCTCCCTTTCCCTCACAATACGCTTCACCATCTGGCCACTTTTTGACTTTTGATAGTCGGCCCACAACTCAATAAGTCTAGCCTCCAGGTCATCAGAGAATATTTGGCGAGGCATTGCCCGAAACGGAAGGCACAACCAGCAACCAGCAATGAAAGCAAACAGAAGCAAAAAAAGCAAACACGACGACAGATCACAATGCAAGGAAAACGAAGTTTGTCAGTAGAACGCTGGGTATATCCTGCTTTCTACACCCCTCCTGGTTTTGCTGAAAACGTACACGATGCGTTTCACATTTCGCGCCAAAAGTGCTCCATCTCCTAGGGAACATAACCGGAAACGTGACATGTACGCGATTTTGTACCTCGTGTGAAACGGCCCTAAGACCAGGTATAAGACCAGGTATAAGACCAGGTATAAGACCAGGTATAACTATACTAGTACATGACTGTATATCGACTACAGTCCATTCAGAAAAAAATGAACTTCTAGCTTTTGGCCATAAATGGGTCAAACGTTGAGTTTTTTTAGAATTTTTTTCTGCAATCCCATATGGAATCCTCTTCCAATTATGTTTCTGAAGTTTTTTTGTCCAAAAAGCAAGCCATAGCAAGAATAGGATTTCGGCCAGGTTTTGCCCCAAAAGCACTGAATTGGGAAAAACCATCAAAATCCAGGCCGTTTGACCCCGCCTGCAACAGTGCATTCTGCGGTTCGAACCCCAGTTCAGGCACCCTTTTTGGACCCTTTTTCAAATTTCAAAGTTCGCAGCACTGCACTGTGTACGATGAAATCACGAAAAATCGCCAAATACGGGAGCTCGCCAGAGCCAGGACCCATTTTTTTATGAATGGACTGTAAAACGATATCGGAACACAAATTGCACTATGTGTATGCTATTAACGGCCATAGTGATATTACTAGGCAGTAAGTCTCCTTACTTTCTAAGCTCACGCTGTGCGGTGCGGACAGGTCATGCGTCGTTGCCAACTTGCCGCATGTGCATGTTCAGCAGGAAGGCACCGCATGTCGACTACTACTTATACTGTACATCATTCTGTGCTTACATGCATCTACGGCCTTGTGGATGCAATCGAGTCAATGTGGATGCAATTGAATTGATGCAATTGAGAATATTGTGGACAGGTAAACAGACAGTGTTCGTTCTGCAGAGTTGCACGTGTGTGATGAACGCACAGTGTACAATGCTGTCTCTCCAACCAAGATCGGAAATTTGAGTGTTTTGGCACTCAAATCACCCCTCAGCCCCCCCCCCCCCCAACGTCTACGCCCCTGGATATGTTTGGAATGAATCCAGAAACTCTCCTAGAATAAACCAGCATGCATGTTTTAGCAGCGAGACATGAAGCATCTCTGAAACTCACCGTGCTACTGACGCTGGCAGAGGGGCTAACTCTCAGTCAGCTTTCG